CCCCCTATTCTATAACAAACCCATCAGCCTCTTTCAGCCCTCATCAGTGAAGCAGCACATTACTCAGCCTCAGATGACTGTTGGTGGAGCATCTTGTGACTGAGAGCAGAGCGGAAAAAAAAAATCCTCACAGTCTGCTGTTTGTTGGGCTGAAAACCAGCTGGACAATGTGACACCAAACATTCCTGGGTTTTGTGAAAAATAACTGTTCAGGCTGACAGAGTGGAGAGTGTCTGAACACAGAAAACACAAGCTGCCATTCATACCAGTGGATGGGAGGAGTGTATCTAACAGTCCAATCGGTGAGCAGCTGAATGTGTGACAGGGTCAAATTCACAAGAGGAATGTGACCAAGGAAACATGTTTCTGTCTCGAGTGTTCAGGACGAGTATCCACGGCAGTGTTGGCAACATTTTTTCCTCAGAGGGCCAGACTGAGTTAGATAGAGTAAGCAGAAGGAAACAAAGTGCTTAAAATTCACTAGAAAATTCCTGAAAAAATTATGAATGTGCCAGTGTCCCTATTTCTGTGTAAAATAGGTTTGCAGAGATTGCAGCAAATATTGTAAGGAAAATGTAGACAGCTGGAAACTAGAAACAGATTTTAATTGTTTATGTTAATATCCTGATAAAAGTTATTTTCGAGTTTCCCAAAAGCTAAAAGATCCATGGATCTGAATTTTAGGCAGAAGAAGGAGAATAATAATAATAAGAAGAAGATAATGACAAAAATCTGACAAATAATAAATAGTCAGCCTTAATGCTATTGCACTGACGCACTCAATTAACTTTGACAGTCTTGACAGATTGCTTTAAACTGTAAAAGCCAAAGAATGTTGACTTTTCTCTGTCAGGCTGTTATGAAATCCGCTTAAATGCCTAATGCATGTATTAATATGCATGTTTGCATCAATGAATGAATAAAGAATGAATACATGATCATAGTCGTGGATATGACTCAGGGTGCATACCTGAACCAAACGGCCATCATAGTACAGACCTGCATCACTGAATCAAGAAAATCAGCTAACACCATTTCCCATGCACATACATTACTGATTAGGGCCACTCAGACATATTTGTTCCTTCATCCGAGACAACAAGGACTCTATTGAATGATGTCCTCACGCTTGTATTGAAAGTACACTGACTGCTCCCATTTCGCATTCCCCCCCAAAGTTCCATTTAGTACTGCAAACTGTGCATTGGACCTCAGCACTATCCTGACACTCTTGTGCCTGGATTGCTTAATCTAAACAGGATTCAAGTTCATCTAATCACAAGTACTGGTCTTACAGTTATGGGTGTGGTTTGGTACTGAGTGAACCTGTTACCCTGTGTAGAGCTTAGGCCTCTAAATTAACTTTCATTATTAAAAAACTAATTTAGCAATAATCTTTGGACAAACAAGTAAAAAAAACATCAAACAATTCAATAAAAACAAAAAACAAACAAATACTAAGTGTGGCAAAAGCTACACACAAATTGTGTTCCCCTTGTCATTTTGACTTTATGACTACTTTATGACTTTATATGGTGGCTCCTATCAAATGAATGTGGACTGAGTGTACAGA